ACCATAAAAAGTGACAGACTAATGTGAGATTTTAGTGGCTACCATTCCCTTTGGAGTAATCTCCTTGGGAGTTGATGCAACGTTCCCAGTGATTCTGCTAATGTCGAAACGCCTTCTGAGCGTCCCTTTTCTTCCCGCTGTTCAGCGCAATCCACGTTTCTTCCTAAATCTCTTTAACTGTGCTAAATCTCCACCCATCGAGCTTCGTTTTCATTCTAGAGAAGATGAAAAACTCTCACATTCCTAAAAGAGGGGAATTGATGGTGCGATTGAACGACATCGTGGAAAATTATGTCAATAAACATTTCAAATGTGGACGAGCTTCTCTATACCTTCTTGCGAATCATTGAAATTGTCAGCAAAAAATTATTTTCGTCAAGAAACATTTTGTAGCAGGCGGAAAAAATGATACAAAAAGAAACAATACTAAACAAATGTTCATGTACCGTGCTCCATTACATTGCACCATGGAAGTGAATTTCATCCATGGAAGGAATGCTAAATGTTTGCCAAATCATGCAAAGGGAAAGGGCACGCACTCAAATGAACGACTAAACTGATTAAACAGACTCGTTCAAATGTTTGCCAGAACCGGTAATAATGTCGTCGCCGAAGTTGAACGACGTTACCGGCGGTCGTCGACATTGACGTCATCGTCTATGCCGTGGGAACTTTGATATAAAGCCACCTAAAACTGACTCTGGCAGCTGACGAACAATCGCGAGAGAAATCCAGCGAGAGTAGGAATGGTCCAGTATTCTTCGGTACATCTCCGCCCCCGTCGTTTCTCCTGACATATCCGTACTCTTAGTCTTTGCCTTCCCTTGCTCGCGCTGTCTAACCAGGATTCTCGTGGAGCAGCGATAATGCGAGCCATACATTTGTTCGATGTACGAGATCGGCCAGCAGTGGCTCTCCGGGTAAGTGGAACTTGGCCAATTGTATCCTAAGGCGGTGAAAAACTTTACTTCTCCAAGAGGAAAACGTCTCGGACGATTGTGTCATTTATTCGAAGTTGAACAGAAGTGTGGCGTTACTTATTCTCAGAATTGTTTCGTATTTTTCCTTTGGCGAGAGAAAAATCATCGAAAACCGAGTATATTTATTTCTATTGATTCGACATGTGAGCAATGTATTTATAATTCCTCTCCGAATAATTTCTCTATTATATATTTTTATTTTAACCTTTGCGGCATTCCGTATTTTGATGCGTGTAAGAACATCATAGGACCATGAATCTGAGGTAAATCTTACGCTTCTTCAAACCTCACGATCGCCAATATGTCAAACGTCTAATGCCCTCGATATTACGAGCATAAATCTGTCGCGTGTAATACTGTGGGCTCTGCCATGGTACCTTTAAGCAGGTTATCAGGAATTCTCTCATCTTTCAAACTTCCATTAGTGGATATCATCCCTAGAATCTGCTGATGTAGGAGTGTTTGGTTTACGGATAGAGTATGCCATATCTCTACTCTATCTAATGTCATAATTAAACTTTTACATTTTCTCGGTTCGATGTCATTCGACAAATTTTTCTATAAGGATATTTAATCAGATATATTGATATTTTCAAGATGGTGTAATTTCTGCCTCCACCATTTAGGTTACGCATTTATAAATCGCATTCAAATTTTATATTCGGTGCATTTTAGGTCATCGAATAAAATATATACCTGTAAAATATTTCAAATGTCAATTCCTTAAAATATTCGATTAAAACCCGTTGTAAAAAACGGAACCACCTTCCCTAGCCCAGTTCCGCGCAAGGTTTATCGAATATTCCACTACGCTACTTTTTCTTTGAGAATTAATAGCAGCAGTTAGAGCGTCCGAATTTAACACGATGCCTCGTCCATCAGTCGTTATTAACCTCCCCACAATAGGCACTTAAAGTGACGAGGAACGTACTTCCACGGGAAATTCTCTCTTTTTTTAAAATCTATAGTGCCGACTATACCTGACCCCTAAATCCTTTGAGCGTGGTACGGACCATGACTCTACTTAACCCACATAAAGTTCCTCTCTGCGAGAAGACTTAGAGCCGAGAATGGTGATAGGGAGAGGGGGGTCGACTTGGGAAACAAGAGGTGCCCAGAGACTTCCAGCTGCAACGTGCAGGAGTTAATCCTTGATAAATCCTCAAACTCCGTCCTAATTCGGTATCGAGCTTCCTTAATTTCATTCCTCCGTTGACCTCTCCTGGCTTTCGAAACCTTGAATTCGAATCGACGACGACGGAGTCGCGAGCTAAGATGATCCTGCTGCTTCACGGTAAAGGTTTTCCTAACGGGAAGCGTCGTTTCCTGTCAGGATAGAGGCGAGTGGTTCGCTCCCCTCGCGCCTTTGAACTTCAGATAAAAGTACTGGCTTTTACTTGAAGTGTTTTTTAGAATACCAACCACGTCTCTTTTAAAGGCAGTGTTGTAAACTTTTGTTTGGTTGTGTCCCTTATCTAGGTTACAAAATGATGATCAAATTTGTTCCTAAAATAGTCTACGCTTGGAAACTTCCAAGCTACAATTACATTAAAAATCTTTTCAGCTCAACGCAAACTTGCATTTATAATAGCTTCTTTATAATTCCACCTTGGAAGCTTAAAATGCCCCTTTGATTGCGCCCGCGAGGCGACGTTGCGGGCAACTTTACGGCTCTTTACTTCCACCTTGTTTAGATCCTATTAAAGTTTAAACAAACGATCGAACGGAAAAATATTAATCCAGGGAAGTTTATCGCGCACGCAAATCTCCATTGCGTGTTTAATCCACCTAAAACCTCACCCCCGTCCGACCCCTGCCCCGCAGAGGTTGACGTGCCGTCGAACTACAGCGAATACAATGTCGGGGTTCAGAAAACTTTTAAATAGAAAAGTTTCGTCCCGCGATCTTGCTTACTCGTTATCGTGCCTCGTTAACTCGTAAACGTTAATAACCGACAGGCGTCGTAATTCACAATTAGCGTAATAGAAGCACGAGGAACACGACTAACGCAACCGTGGCTTTTTCATGCGAGGGAGGGCAACGGTCTTTTGATAATTTATCAGCTACTCGTGGAAAGTGGCACGTATAAAACTTTCATGGATAACCCACTGCAGTGCTCGTAATTAAATTGTCAGGAAGGAAACGATCGCGTTGTTTCATGCGGGGCGAACGTATTTTGATTCGTGTTGTGTTTGCATACGAAACAGAGCTCGATAATATAAAATATTATATTTGGTTGGTCGGTGGAACGTGCACGAGAGGATAGAAAAATTCTTGTAGCGAATGATTTATTTTTGTTTTTTTTCTTCTAAGAGAGATATGATATTAATATTCATGAGCATTTTTCTTAAAACTGAGTAACTATTATGTCGAAGAAATAATAATATAATAATGAAAAGAAGAGATAGTTTGATTCGTATAATATATGTAATCGTTCTCACAGAGTAGATGTGAAAATTTCTTATTGAAGTTGGAATAAAATCAATTGACTGCTCAAGGTCACTAGGCTATCCCCACCACACCTGTTGCAGGGCAAATTTGCTGAAGGAAATAACGAAGACCCAGTTGGCCAGCAAATTTGCCTAGGCAACAGGTTATTTTTGACTCGAGATATTTAGATTGCTGTTATAGAATAATTAGTCAATTTTTCATATTGCAAAAATTCAGTAATATATATTTGTAAAATTTTCTTGAATTAAAGGTTAGGAGTATTAAATGAGATCCAGAATATATTTAAAATAATACAGGAAATTTATACCCCTACAGATATTAAATTGCGACGTTCCGTGAGAAATTAAATGTGAATTAAAATTCGTTTTTCATGGTTTCCTTGTATTGCTAGCTTCCCCTAGAGCTGGCGCCCTCTACTTAGGAAAACACCGATGCAGTGGACACCGCACGGAAGGCGATATTTTAGAAAGTAGTAGGAAGGGTGCTCTAAAATAATAGAACTCGATTAAGGGAAAGAAACAATTATTTTAAACCCTCTTCAATTAGTAAAATTCAATTTCCTCTTTCTTAAGTGACACTCGCTCGACCAAGAAGTCCAACGCGTTTTATCTTTCACGAATTTCATCTGTGAAATAGAAAGTCAAGTATTTAAACAGTAAAAAAAAATCTATAAAGTTGCCTCGAAACTGTTAAGAAAAGACAGTAGCCCTTTCTTATACCTGAAGAGATTCACAATGAAGTTTCGGACCTAGACACTACCAAAATACCAACACCTTACAACCCCTTAATTACACCTCATCCCGATACAACTCCTTCCTGTATCAGTAATCCCACCAGGATCTCGTGTTGTTGCGTGTGAACAAGCATGTTTCAAAGTTTTTAACGCTCACTCGCGTTTTCATTTTGAAGTTCAACGACCTTCTCACTCTGGGTTTATCGGAGCAGAAAGTTCAACGAGTTCGCATGCGTCCCGAAGTCGGAAGAAATTTCATGAACCATTCGCCGACGTGTTACTCGACGGGTCCCGGTACATTTTGTTAGACGTGTCCCGGTACATTTTGTTAGACGTGTCTTTTGACACGACGTAAAAGCGAACCGTTTTCCAAGTTATAAGTCGACGGTCCTCGACTGGTAGTTCGTTTAATGGTGCTTTCTTTACGGTGTCAAGACGGATCGGGCCATACTTCGCCCAGCTCACGACTTTGATCCCCACTCTCGACTCCCTAGCCATCTTCGCTTCCTCTCGCTGTCTCCTAGAAAACTTTTCGAACTCAATTTCTATCTGGAATATGGGGACGAGGAGGTGTACAAGCAAACTTTCCCTTAGAGATACGTTGCTTTTGCGAATCAATCCGTTTCCAAATGTGGGGGACGACTGAGCGGTGGGGCTACGGTTCGTTTCACTGAAATAAAAGTGACGGCAATGGGATTGCAACGTTTTCGATATAGAATGAAAATAACGATAAGCTTTCTGTGAACCGAATACATTCCCTATTTCGTTTCCCACAGGAAATCGATTGTATTCTGTTTTAGTATAGAGATATAATATAGATTTGACGTAACACTCACCTTAAGTCTCCTTTTTGTAGAGAGATCTCCTCGAAGACTAAGCGAATCCTCTCCTTTAATCTGGAATAAGATATATATGCTTAAAATATTTGTTATTGACATTTAATGTATTTTATTTGCGATACTAATAGCCTCAGAAAAAATAAAAGAAGGTGCAAACGAATTGCTCGTTTCAATATGTACTCTGTACGCTCTTCGTTTAATTTATCTCTCCAATAACCGTGAGAGGGAGTATTTTATTTCGCTAAAAAATCCTGCAAAACAAAATTAAGAGCCAAATGGATAATTTCAATTTATTATGCATAACGTAAAGAAAAATGCATGGCTGCTTATTAGTACTCTTTTACATACTATGCAAAGGAGTTCGCATCCATTGTTGGTCACGTAAAGTTAAGCAATACATCATTCTGTAATAAAAACGTATTGCCTTCTTTCTTGAAGTTCACTCCACAATACCGAACATCACGGGAAGATGAACAGACTTCAGAAACATGCAGAAAAAAATGAAACTTTCGTACTGGGCGTCACGCAAGACTTGACTTTCCACAAACTCCGTCTTCAACAGTCTATCACTCAGAGTTTCTAAACTACCCTTGGTATGTGGCCCCCTTTTGAATATTTTCATCCCTATGGCCTTCACCTATCGTAATTGTAGATGGTTGTTAGAAATAATATTGAATTTCTGCATCTTTCCAGAATTATTTAGTTAGCAGATAATTTCTGTCGAAGCAATGTTTTTTTTATCTGACAGCAAAATAATTCGGAAAAGATACAGAAATTTACCATTATTTTTAACAATCACCTGCTACGAGAAAAATGTAACGCAACGCCATTTTGCAATACAAGTCGATACAAATTTTGCGAGACATGCTACAGAGTGTGCTCCCTTAAAATTTCAGCTTCCTATATTATACCGTTTTCGTAGAAGAAATTCGCGAAACTTGATCCGACTTTAACACTTGTGTAAAAATCGAGTCTCCTCGACCGAGGCTACGGTGTCGTCGATTAGCAGCGTAACGAGTATCCGAATGTAATTTGTGGCGGTAATGCAGTGACAGCCATGAATACAAGCCGAACGGATTGTGCACGCGTATACCCGCGCATCCGTCAGCTTTATAGGTATGCGCGGAGCGTTGTATCCTTGATGTCACTGTTAGGCATACCGAACTGCAAACGCTACTTTGATACAATTACTGCAATTAAGCGGAAGCCACAATACTACGGAAATCATATCTGCATACTGGCTCGGAGCCACGATTAAATTCACTGCGTACGAACGACATTCTGAAACTGCGGAATCGACCATCGTTTCGGGTGATTGCCGACCAACCCCGCAGGTCAGGCGTGTCTGACCTCGAAGCGAACAGTAAACGTAAAAATGCGGTACACGGAAATTTTATTTGGTTCGAATCGATGACATAAATTGAAAAAAAAAAGCAGGAAAGTGATCAATTTACAACAAGAATATTCTCAATTTCTAGCGCAAGTTAGCAAACTGTCGTCACAACAAATTACATTTTCCTCGACAAAAATTCTTAAATCACGGAGTTCTAGCACTGTACGCGAAGTTGAACAATTCCAACCCATTTCTTTTTCGTTCTTCTGCCAGCCACATGGCGCGCGAACGTCATCTATCAGCGTCTCTTTCCAAGTACAGAGTCGCGCAGTTATTTCAGAGATCCGGCCGCAAGAATACCAGCACTTCCTGCGTTCCCGCGCCAACAACTCGTCCCTTTTTCGCCCTCTGTCCGGCCTTTTATCCGGTTATACCGAAAACGCTCTACGCAGCCGGCATAAACTTTCGACAGTCCGCGTAACAAGGAGCGGAGATGAGAAGCAAGGAAAGTTACGCCGGTCAGGAAACCGGAAAATTTCTGGCCGACAAGAGAGAGCTGTCGGTCGTTGTAACAGAATTACGCGAACGGGGAACGTCCATTCCGAGAGGATTCAATATCAGCCGGATTGGATATTATTCGATGCTAAATCAGAGTTCCAAATGCATCCTCGGAAAATTATGCTGGGATACCAAACAAATTAGGCCATCCTGTGATTAAATTAATTTTTAGAAAACTCACTCTGCGTTACTATCAAAATGCTTAATTTGTTGAGGAGTTTAAAAATGAGTTTAAAAATGATCTACTATTCTTTCTGAACTCTGATGGTATTGCTTGATAATGTAGAACTCTTCTTTGTGGCAGGATTTACCAACGGAGTGTTCTATATTACCAGCGTAGCCTCCTACCGCATCGACCGAGTGCTCTACGTTACCAACCCTTGCCGATAGAGTACTCTACCTTATCGAACCATGTACAAACCACCACTTCGCGGATCGCCAACATTAATACCTCCTGTAAAGCCCAATTTAAACGAAAACCGTCTTTTTGCCTAAGTCATCCCGATTACACGATTACTTTGAATATTCTAATTACTCTATACGGCCTACAAGCACATGTTCCATTTGAATACGTCTTCAGTGATCGTACGGACGATCGTACTTACACGTTCATACGATCACTAAACGATACTCCCAGGTGGCAGACCGATCCGGATCTTTATCGAAGCCGCGAGGACGAAGATACCGCGGCTCAGGTGTTAATTAACTGGCAACCAGATTACGGATTGGAGCCGTTAAACGCGCGAGGACGTCAGATATATGGCGCGACTCGAGATTGGCCTCGAGATGCATTATATATGGATTATGTCGGGATCAGTTTGCGAGCTTGATAGTAGGTCAGCCTAGTTACCTTGCCCGGAAGAGGTACGAGCACCGGATGTTCTTTGGGTAGGAGGACGGGTACCGTGGCGAGTAGAATCGTCCGTACTGCGGTGTTGACTGTGAACTGACAAACTCGAGGTCGCACATCGTGCCAGGAATCAGCACACCGTCCGTCTCGAACAGCCCTGGAACAGAAAGAGGTGATAAAAGGTTAGCTGGCTTGCATACGTTTTCCCCCCTGCTCGAAGTCTCGTATCTTGTTTCGTCGCGCAATTTTTCAGGAAACTTTTAATGCTCCGCGGACAGATTAAATAGAGACGAGTCACGGGGATATTGCATTTTTGACTTCGATGTAAATTTATGCAGAAAAAATGCCCGGGAAAGTAGGGAAGTAAATATACTCGGTGACGTTTCAGCGTGAAAACGTGCGCTTGCGACACGGGGCACATGGCAACTTTTAGACGGTGCATTTGTCATCCGATGCTTGTCACAAACTGTTTTATGAATCGCCGAGTTCTTTTTCTTGTTTCGGAAAATAGAATGTATCGAAAGTTGGAAAGCTCGGAGGAATTATATTCTTTGTCTGCTCTGGTGCTTTTCATATTCAATATGCAGTGCGAGGGCATGGTAACCAATATTTACACAGACTGAGACAGGTAAACTGTTACAGAGCAATAATGTCTAAACTATCGTAGACGCAAAAGTATATTACAGGAAAAAGTTAGAAGGTTCGAGGTGGCCTATGACTGTTCTTCAACGACAACATACATACGAGATCTGGAAAATGAATACGATGATTCTAGCGTGTTTGTACATGTTTTCCTCCAACAGAATTAATTTGAACAAAAATATTCAGACTCGTGAACAGATTTGATCAAACGAATACAGGTAGTTTCGAAACAGTTTCGCCATTATTACAGGAATTCAGCAGCAACGTACTTGTAAACAGCTGAGTATTCCTAGTATCTCGTATAATTGAGCGAAATTAACTATGGCTTGAGCGTTTCAATTGTTTGCGACACTTTGCATTCACGCATGAGTTGAAATTTCGAAATTCTCCGGACCCGTGTTCGAAAGTTGGAGCTCGTTTGGACTGGAATACCGACAGCCAGGTCTTTCTAATTCCCATGCCCCTGCAATTACGGAAATTCGAAACGTTATGGTAAGCCATACGAATCCCTAAAATCCAACGTTTCGAGAGCCAGCCTCTGAAAGCTCAATTTCTCCGAAACGCGGTATACGTGGACACTAAGACATCCGTATTAGTAATTTTAATCTAATTTCCATCCAATTTTCTCTATTTATACTCTCGTGTTCTCTTCCTTGCTTTGAATCAAAATGAAATTAATGGTCCAAAAAATGTTTAATCAGACTTGGTTATAGGCGTACCAGAGGCTTACTTATCGATTAACTCGTCGCAAATCTCCTTTCTTTTTAAAGCCGACGTTGTAGCGATACCATTCCCACTGATGGCGCGAATTCCAACGATATTCGCCCATGAAGTATGTACGCGCTAAAAGCAAAACATTTCACGGCACCCATCGAGGATATTATTTTGAATCGCGCCTATACAGCGCTCGGAATTATGTTTTCCTGAAACGGATCCCATGTAATTTAGAATGAAATCGAACACTGGAAGGCCAGAAAAATGGCAGGGCGGCGTGGAAACACACCCGATATAATCAGAATTCCAATTGCGCCGCAAATTGTTCTGGAAAAATGGTCTATCGCTCGAGCATTTCAAAGAATTAATAACAAACGTTATATTCTCATGAGATTCCACATGCTTAAAAATACCTTTAAATATTACCTTTCAAAACAGTCGATGATTATCTTTTGTACCAACGTGAACATGAAAGTATTTATACGGATTTATCTTCCCTATGCAAGCTTCATGGTTTTTACACTGTTACAAGATTACATATAATAACAAATATTTGTCCATAAATATATATACGTTTTCCCTGAATGACATTCTTCGTATATCTCTTCTATAAAGATCTGACAAGTAGCAAACCGACTAGATCATCGGGAACAAGGATCGATGGGTGGATTGTGGCGATAGATTCCACCGTGGAATGTTACTCCATAATATAGCGGCGATATCCTCGATAATTACATAATCGGAAGGCAATAAGGAAAGGGGTGCAAGGAGCTTGCGGCTGTGTTTGGCTCTGTATGACAGACCGCAGCTACTTATCTTGACAAATGGCGATTATCTGCTACGCGGACGCCTGACTGACGTAATCAGGCTGTAACATAATGACGCGTCAACAGGTAAATGTCCGAAGGGATCTAGTTGCCGAATCTGCGATCGCGTGTATGCCAATCACGCCCAATGGGACACTTTTTGAACGAATATAGACGTTGCTGGCGGCGTTGCTTTGAATTAAACAGAGTTGCGAGAACAAAAGATTAAGCGCTTGTACCAAATAAATTGTGTCTGTCAAAAAGAGACAGAAAAATAAAATAAATATAAATTCAGTTACATTCAGAGTGAAATAAATATATTTATGTATGTATTCGCAATGGTAGATATACGATAGGTATAATAATAGACATTAACAGGTAAGAAACTAATTTACAAGATGTAAGCCACAGCTGTGCTTCAGGTTGAAAGTGTCTCGCAGTCGTATTAACATCGCGTGCAAGAATGTACAGCAGAACCTGGAGAATATCTCTACACGAAGGTCGTACGTGCGCGGGGCATTTAATGGCGGGCATCCGGCGTCGTATACTCTACTATAAAACTACCCCTTGGCTCAGCGGGAGACGGAAGTCAAGGTCGGAAAAACAGCGGAAAGGAACTCCGCTCCGTGTGGTCGGAATTGTTAACAGAGTGTGAGTGGTAAGTGTGAGAAAAAGAAAAGTTTCGTCTTGCATGCTGGGAGCTATTAAACATTGGAGAATAATTTATGTGCCCGACGGTAGGGGGTAGAAATGAAAGAATAGTGCGGAGACGGAGCTCGTTTAAAATGTGTAGTAACTGCTTTAGGTCCGATGTACAATTTAGAATGTTTCAGAGCAAAATAATTACTTTCTTAAGATAATATAAACAGAGAATTGATCTCAGTATTATTGTAACCGTTAGTGTCTTCAGTTAAAAAAAAATTTTGATGGGTATCTAAGGTAATATTTTTATTAAGAATAATGATTACGATGATGAAATTAATATTGAAATGTTAATGTAATTATATTATTTTATGTAATATATTCTTCAAAATCCTTTTGTGTGAAAATAAAACAAATTTTTGTCTCAGATGACAGAGGTCTGGCGTGGACTAATGTAGTCCGAAAATTAAACGCATCGTCCCTCAGTTGCGTTTCCACTTCTTTGCTCCGCTTTCAACCACTCGAATGCACATACGACACGGTACACGTCGTACACTCCATATGAAGGTCGTACGTGTGTAGGACGCTTGATGTGGTCGAGCACCCGGTGGTACGTTGTAGATTGCAAGAAAAGTGTGCTCGCGCACACCTAAACACCGAGTCAACTTTGGAATATGTATAAATCCAGCTGTGGCGAGGAATTAACCTCATATGCACACAGAGGCACGCGTTCGAAGGTAAATTGCAGGCCGCGAGTCGAGAGCACCTGAAAATCGGAGGTTTAATAGCTGGGAAGCTGATTGCTCCTCGCAAACTTCTAATTAGGATACCAAGGTCACTGCGAAAAGATTCGAATCTCCTATTTCTTGTTAGGACAGGAGGAAACAAATTTTTTGTTCTTCGACTCCTCGTTACGAATATTTGGTGACTAAAGGTCTCCGATTGATTCAGAGGTATTCTGATCTAACATGATTGAGGTTGATCACGTGCTCCATCCACTTGGTCAAATTTACTTTAACCCTTTCAAACTTGAATTACTTTTTTTCTCGCACTAATGTAATTTAATTTTTAGGGTTAACTTTGACTAAAATTAGCATGGAAAAAGTGATTGAAAAAATCTTAATATTGTAGTTTTCGAGGAAAACTGATCATTCTTCATGTGAACAAGTAAAGGCATTCGTTCTAAACGATAGTTTGTCGTAGTAGTAAATTTTGTATCCTCGATTGTAGACGTCAGGTCTGAAGGAGTTGACAAACGCTAAAAAGTTTCACTTTAAAAACAAAGCATCGTCGTCACACTCGCAGATTTCACAGTCGCAAAATTAGATTTCTTACCAATATTCCTTCAAACGTTTAAATCTCGTCCACGACCAGCGTGAAATTCTCATAGCCCCCGTCATAAGGCAGCTCGCGACATTCTATTCTCTTTGGGGTAGCTACTTCCGGTAAAAAGGAATCGAATATCCGTGGCTTCTCGGTAATTTTATTGTAGACTTTCTCGCAGAGCGTTGAATATACCTCGAAGCCCGGCTGGTGGACGGCATCGGAACGTTATACGTATCTGGGGAAAGATTTCCAGTCCAAGGAGCAACGGAGTAAATTTAATTTTCAGATCTTCGCGAGGCCAGTTCGGTTTCAGCAAAAGTGATTTCTCCCTGCGCCCTGCGCGGTTATGAAAGAGTTTCGTACCGCTTCCGGCAATGCAATTTCCGTCAGCACACCGTTGGATTCTTTTCCGAAGGAACTTTCCAGATAAATTGCAGAACCGTTTGGCGGCCCAGGTAAATTATTTCTCATTTTCATTACGTCCGAAATGTTTGGCCCCGGCGAGCGTGATTAAATTTGCAACGGGGCGTCGACGTGGGCGAGCCTGGCTCGAACGACGCGATAATTAGAAATATCAATGTAATTACCGATCGGGGTGTTATAACGAGTGTTCGTTGAAAATCGTTTTAATTTGGTTAAACGCTGCTGGGATTAAATCTGACTCATTCCTGAAGGTTACCTCTTTTAAGAGTAAAAGAATCTTTTAAGATACCTAGGTTACATTAGAAAACCCACTGAAACATGTTTATCGTTTGGAAGTTATCGTTAAGCGTCTGCAATGGTGTGCAATCGCCGTGTAAAGAAGATTGCGACCATAACAACACCAATAAGAAAAGAATACACTGTTATGCGCGCCAACTAAAGTAACGTGTTTGTACCTTCCGAAGTTGTCTCGTTTCTCTGATGAAGGAGAAAGATGTAGCGACATAAAGCTCTTTATACTATGCAACGAGGACCTTCTCCATAGGAACCGCTTTATTAGACTAATAAAATTCTATTCCACAATCTGGGTTTAGAAGAATCGTCG